TTAAAGGTCCCTTTTTTCTTCTACATGAAGAAACTGTAAAGTGGAGTTAGTGAGTAGATCAGATCTTCCAAACAGGTAATAGAGAAAATGAAAGATAGACGAAGAATGTTACTTAACTGCAGTTAATAAAGAAAGCGTTAGCCAACAAATGAGTACAGTAAAGGTGAGCCAAGAGTTAGCTCATCAACAGAGAAACCAGTGGGAAAAAAAAGCTAAAACTAACTAAACGTTAGCCATGGAAGAAAAATAACCTTAGAAATTGCTTAAAGCCCTAAAGTAAAAAAAAAAGAATTCCCTCATTTGTCCTACAATGTGGAAAGACAAAGACTCACGGTTTGAGTCTTTGCAATGCACACAGGCTGCCACACGAGGCACCATTAACTATGTGGTTCTTCTGGGGTTTGAAACCAAGCAAGCTAAGTTAACCATAAAAAAGGTCAAAAGAAAAACAAGTACAGTAACAAGTTAGAGAGTACTTTGGTGAAGTGAAAAAATATCCAATCTTCAGCCACAATACCCCCCCCCCCCAAAATTAAATTCTAACTAAATCGTAGTCTAGAGAACAGTAAAGCCAATAAAAAGAAAATAAAAATGATCCGGAATAGCACCTAGACTTAGCCACGATCAGTTGAAAAATTATTAAACGTCTACTCAGAATTAATAGGGAAGCAAAATTTAATAAAAAATGGTCTAGGAATAGATCCTAATGCCCCAGAAACACATATTGGGGGCAAGAAAGCCCCTCTCACAAAGTTAATTTCCTACCCTGGTACACATCAATGCTTTCCCTGTGTGCTTTAAGTGTCGGTGTTTTTCAGGGAGATTTTATTTTACTCTCTTTCTTTTATATCTTAGGGTGCCGCCAGATCTCATAAAACCATCTTCAATTTATGTTGGGAAAAATGTAAAAGTTCATTGGAGGAAAAACAACAGGCAAAAAATCCACAGCAAAACAAATCATTCACTCGCAGCAAATGTCAACACCAGGATTTCTAATTTCTCATTTTTCCCCCTTTTCTTCTTTTGCTATAATTAAAAGTTCTGACACTTTTTAGCCCCTTGTATGTGGGATGACGTTTGACAGGTGAGAACTTCTGTAATGTGTTCCCTGCAAGGTTTTTCTGAAATGCGATGTAGTCTAGCTCATCCTCACTTTTTTCTTGTGAAAAAACGAGGGGGTGTTACAGGGATACAGACCATTTCCTGTGGAGAGGATGTGGAAGAAACACACCTCATTTACCTCAAGGCCAGATAGCGTGTTTGCTTTTTAATCTCTTCATAATCCAACGGAGCCTTTTCTTAGACAACAACAACAACACCTGAGAAGGGAGTTGATTAATACAGGCACGATTGAAATGCTTAGGTTATAGCAAAAAAAAAAAACAAAAAACAAAAAAAAACAGCTTTGTGGGAAGCTACAGTCCTTGACTGATGTAATCTGTACAGCCAATTAATCAAATTCAGTTTCCACCAGACTGTTCGCGGGGGAAGGATAGATTGCATACATAACACATGTTTTTGATCATGAGGGAGAGACTGCACCTTTTCTTTGCCAGTGGCATCACTTAGACATGATAGCAGGAGACTGGTGGCATCAGGAATTATCTGGAGATAATGTCCTGGAAGTATATGAAACCAGTATGAAAAAACCTTTTTATTGAGCCTTTATGATCTCATAAGAAATGTAGGAATACCTAACAAATTACTTGGTGTTGTACACTATGCCTTGCGGGGCTAGGACATCTGACTAGTCATTTGCATGTAGCAGCTAAGAGCAAGCAGAAAAGCTTCATGATGCTGGACAAATATAGAAAGCAAGCTATTGGTTAGCTGAAAGATGGGGAAATCTAAAGTATATCCTTGTGATACTGAAACATTTGTCAAACAGTAAAAACCAAGACTATTATGATAATAAAAGTTAGAACCTTTAAATATTGATAAAAGATAGATAGCAATTTACTTAAATTACTGAAAATATCACTAAAAATCCAAAACAAACAAGGCTCATAGTTCACTACCAGATCAGACGATCAGAAGTTAAGGTATCGGAAAATGTGGCTCAGATTTAGAGCTGCTTTAGACCAGAAATAGTTCAAGCACAGGGTGATACCATATTAGAAATGACTCAACATAAAACCAGCCAATAACTGTATATTACTGAAGACGAGCCCCATTCATTTGTTTTACAGGTTTAGTCATTAAGCCTTAGGTAATTTTCATACCTTGTAAAAAAACAGAATAATTTATAAATGACCTCACCTCAAATATTGGCCTTACTATATTATTATTGTGGCTCTTAAGAAGAACTCTTTAAATTAGTGGTGGTTATAAATCTTACGCCAGATAGATCCACAGGTGAAAAAGTCATCAAGGGTTTAATAAAGCAGATGATTTTATTTTAATTTAATTAGTGTAGGTGAAACCGATTGGATTTAAGATATTAAAGTTAATTAAATTGACATTTGATATACACTGTCTTTATAACAGTGTATGGGAATTGCCATTTTGAAATTATGTTTTTTTAATCTTGAAACTTCAAACTCAAGGCCCATGGGCCAAACCCGGCCCATTACCTCTGGTCCACCACCAGGGCCACACGTGTATGATTGTCTTCAGGTTTGTACTATTGTCTATCCGGACAGGTACTGGATGACTGTGTCTAACAAATACATGGCAGGTAACTCACAATCAAATTTATAGTTAGCACAAGCTACTTATTTGATGTCAATATTTTATTATAATTTTAATTTTTTTTTTTTTCACTATTTCATTGATCATTTCTGATCAAAGCATCGTCAGACTGTTCTAAAAAAATTGATCTCGTTCGCACCACAACTTAGAATGAGTTTTAAATTTTGCCTTTTCGAGTGATTGGGTTTTACACCACTGTACCTATAATGTTCTGGTATTAGACCTAGAATGTAAGCCTAATACCAGCCGCGGTG